ATCGTCTTCCACAGCCGATGCAAAACTGACGATATATCACGATATATAATTTCTAATATCGCCCAGTCCTAGTCGTGAGGCGTGTGTGGTGATCAACTACGTTGACTGCTATTGTGAGCCAGTCCGTGACCGATTGTGGGGTATGTATGTTTTGTTTGTGTTGTGTTATGTGTTTTACCTATTTTTAGTATGGGTGGTAGTTGAGGCAGTGCTTTGGTGGAATGTGAATAATAAAACTTATCAAAATCATAAATGGTGGTAACTTATTAGAAATTAGTAATTAAGTTGGCTGACTCATCCCCCACTTTTTTTAAAAAAAAATTTTAATTTTTTTTTTAGAATTTACTTGAATAGCCATCACGGGCAGCTGAAAAGCTCCTGACACATTGCTTGAGCAGGGTCAGTGGTGAGGCGTGTGTGGTGATCAACCACGTTGGTTGCCATTGTGAGCCAGTCCAGTCCGTGGTTGATTTTGGGATATGCGTGTTTTGTTTGTGTTGTGTTATGTGTTTTACCTATTTTTAGTATGGGTGGTAGTTGAGGCAGTGCTTTGGTGGAATGTGAATAATAAAACTTATCAAAATCATAAATGGTGGTAACTTATTAGGAATTAGTAATTAAGTTGGCTGACTCATCCCCCACTTTTTTAAAAAAAATTTTTTTTAAAAATTTACTCGAATAGCCATCACGGGCAACTGAAAAGTTCCTAGCACATAGCTTGAGAAGGGTCAGTGGTGAGGCGTGTGTGGTGATCAACCACGTTGGCTGCCATTGTGAGCCTGTCCGTGGTTGATTGTGGGATATGCGTGTTTTGTTTGTGTTATGTTTTGAGACTATGTTTCGGTGTTAGTCATAGAGATTTTGGGAGTTTGAGAGACATAGGGATATCAGTTAGGTTGTATTTGGCCAGTTTTTTACTGCTATGGACGCTAGTTGGTCTGCTGAAGACCCAGCTGTTGTTAAGCCCTTGTACCCTGGATAAAATAATCATGATATAGATTAGTGTATTATTGTGTGTACGTTTATCGACAGTTACTCTTGTTTGTGTAGACCGAGCTTGAGGGCTTCTTTTTTTTTTTTTTTTTTTTTTTAATTTTTTTTTTTTNTTATTAGCCTCACGGACAACAGCTTGTGTTGACTGACTGCCTGCCAAATGTTTGTTGGTCAGGGATGGGGCCAGAGTGTGTTTTTATGTTGCAGCAATGGTTTGCCTGGAGCCCTGACTCCTCATGATTGTATTTGCTGCCAGTATTTTTACAAAGTTATTATTAGGTTTATGCCATATTGTCTGTGATGTTCCTGGTTATGGCAAGAATATTTATTAGTTTTTGCAATTTGCTTGTTTTTGAAACTGTCTGCAAATATCGTTCTGCCTTGTTCATTGGGTTTTTTGAGGTGGTACGATTCAGTTAGTGGGCAGTCATGTAGATAGTGACTTGGGGTACCTGTGTCATCGCATGGGCATGTGTCTGTGTTTATTCGCTGCATCCTGTGTAAGAATGAGGGGAAGAAGCCATGTCCTGTAAGGAATTGTATTGCTGCTGGATGGTCTATAAGTTTGTGTCTACTTTAGGGTAATATGATTTTGTTGTATAGCCTTTTTCATTTTCGTCCCAATATGCTTGCTAGAAGTTTTTGTGTGATGGTTTTAAGTTTATTTCTTAGGCTCGATGGTAGAAGAACACCGCTGGGAATCCCGTGACCTACTGCTGCATCTTTAGCCGCTAAATCCGCTGCTTCATTACCTATGTTACCTGTGTGCGCTGCCACCCAGTGTATTTGTGTGTTGCATTTGCTGACTAGGTGTTCTAGTTGTGTTGTTGCCACGTGTGAGTCTTTTTGTTTCGTTTTTCAAATAGCGTGTATACTAGCCAGACTGTCTGTCAAAATTGTTGCATCTTCGCAGCTGTGTGTCCCTAACCAATTGATGGCTTCTTTGATGGCTAAAACCTCTGCTTGAAACACTGTGTTTTCTTGTTTTAGCGTAAATTTGTGTGTATCTGTAAGTTGGTTGTTGTGGTAAACACAGAATGCAGCTCCCACGCCATTATCTGTTTTGGAGCCATCGGTGTAGATTTGCACCGTCGTTGTTTTGCTAGTTCTAGTACTTGTTGGTAGGTTAGTGTATTTATGGCTAGTCTTATGGGCCGGGTGGACCACACGTGTTTTTATCTTTTGTTGATATTCACCCGCTTTTATGTTGTATTGTGTGTTTTCATGATTGAATCTTAGTGTGCTAGCTAGTAGTGCCAACCTTATTAATTGTGAACTTTGAATTATCCAGTAAAATATTTTTACCTTGCTCATACTCAGTTTTCAGGCCAATCCAAGGTTACTGACTAATCAAACGCGCTTCTGTACTTCAGTAAGAATGGGCCATAAAATGATCCCACTATTTACACTTTTATTTTCATATTTTGAAATCTGGCAAACTTGTTACGAAAATATTTTAAATTATTTTTGATAGTTGCCGATAAGTGGAAGTATATTTGAATTAGCTTCTCGCTGATGCATGCATGACATTTTGTATTTTATTCTGTATTTTATTGAATTTTTTTTTTTGTTGCTAATATGTTCTATTTTTGTTTCGATCTTTTGGCACACTTTTTTGCGGCTGTAATCGTGTGTTCTGGTGACGAAATTACTTTTCCTTATTTTGCTTTATAATTACTTGATCTAACAATTATCTTTTCCTCATTTTTTTCCGACTTTTTTATTTTTTTTATTTTATTATTTTTTTTCAACATATCTTAAAAATATTTTATTTATTAATAATTTTTCTTCTTCTTTTTAAAAAATTTATACAAATTCTTACCATGTTTTCTTTATATTTTTAACTTTCTTTCATANGCATAGCATAAGCGGAGGGATACATCGGAAGTTTTCTGTAGTTTGTCTATAGTAAGAACTCCCCCCGCTACTCAAAGTCAAAGTCTAAAGCTGTCTGCTGCATTGGAAATAAGAATAACTTATTTCAGTAAGAGGAGCTTCGTTGATTCACTATATAGGAACTTCACTATATAGGAACTACTATATTGGCCGAATCTGCAGCCAGTAGGAGACAGCTGGTTCAAGAACTTTTTTAAGATTAGCATTGATATTTCTTTCATTATTTAAAATGATCGGTTTCTATTTTTTTTAAATATAAAAAGAAGGAAAAAAAAGTACTGACGTTAAGGGTAATAGAGGTTTATTTTATGTTACTTTTTAATTTTACGCTAGTTTCTCACTATTTACGCTATTTTTATAAATGTTTATTAATTTTCAGATGGATTTAAGATTCATATAATTTCTAAACTTACACATTTTTGGTGAAACAGATAATTGTTTCTGGTGAAATTCTTAAACTTTATTTTTGAAGAGTAATAAAAGTTTTGCGAAAGATAGAAACAATTCAAGTTATCCATCCCGGAGAAATTTTCACCGATTCATTAGAATTTTTTATTATTCATGCTGATGTTGTAAATTCTTATGTGTAGAGATTTTAATCTATATTATTTAGTTTAAATGACTTATTTGGCTAATATAAATGTTAACATTTTCTATCTTTTTTTTCTCTTTAATTTAGAAACGTTTTTTTTTTTTTTTCATTTTTGGTCAGGGAGGTATTTTTCCATTTTATTTACAGTTTTTTTTTTTTCGTAAATAATATGTGAAATGAATAAATAAAAATAAATTAAATTAAATTAAATAAATAGGTAATAAGTTGCAATGCGTTTTATTTTTTTGATGTTCTTTTTTCTTTCTCTCTTTTTTTTTTCCTATAGCGGAAAGCAAGTTACCGCAACTAGAATGAAATCGAAAACTATCAAGATAATTTTTATCAGCACTCATTAAACCACCTAATAATTTCTAAGATTTTCTTTAAAATTACGTTTTATTTTTTATTATTTTAATGCAACCTGTAGAGTTTTTCTCACCATTTATTGAAAAAAATTTCTGAGTATTAGCATATTTATTTTTACTTCTTTCTTTTTAAAAAATCAATTTACATGTGTGGGAAAGATGAGTTATTTATTAATAAAATGTGTAAATCGAACTGCTTTAAGCAATTTTATAAAAATTTCCATTCTGAGTAATTGTTCTCATATTTACCAACATTATTTATTTTTCAAGGAAATCTGAAAGGCATTTATTAAAATTAAAGTGCATCTGAAAAAATTAGGTTAAAAAAAATGAAGAAAGAAAAATAGATAATGAAACTTACTAATTTTTTTTTTTT